AGAGAGAGAGAGAGAGAGAGAGAGAGATAGAGAGAGAGAGAGAATTTAATAAGCAATAGTTACCAATATTATTTTTGACTACTATGTCTTGCCTACCTGACTGATTATCGAATTAAGGTTTATTCACATCAAGATTGGAGATTTTGTGTTCTCTGGACCCCAAACTGAAGTTGAGTCAATGCTGTACTTCATTCAACTGTGTCTTGAATCAAGTGTTGGTTTCAGTCCTGTATTAACTGCTTCTGTTCCTTTGAGGTACCCATAGCCAATTTTCATGTACAATAGTCATTATAAAGATCAAGAACATACCTTAGAACAATTTAAACCAATTTAAATTGTGTGTGTACATACGTGCAGTATGTGTGCGTACATGAGTATGTGTATGCGTGTGTGTGCTTGTGCCCACCTGAAGGCCAGAGGTCAGTGTCAGATATGCTCCCTCCATTGTCTTCCACCATATATTTTGAGGCAGGGTCTCTTACTGATTTTGGAGCGCTCAGATTTGGCTAGACTGAGTGTCCAACAAACCCCAGGGATCCTCCGCCTCCACTTCTCCAGAGCTGAGATTATGGTGCTCACCACTCTGTTTGGTTTTTATGTAGGTATTGGGGATCAAATGTAGGTCCACATACTAAGAAGCAAGCACTTTAGCAGCTGAACCATACCCCCAGGCCAAATTTTAAATCTATAATAAAATTTCGTTTGTTGTTTTGCAAATATATTCAAGTTAATTCACTTTTGAAATATGACTAGTAATGCTGCTGAAAAGAAAAAAACTATACCCCTTTTATCTTTCTTAAGCCCTGGTTCTATTTTTTAGGTATTGCTACTTAGGAATTTCTAATTTGGCTCATCACTACAGTGGGAATTCAGTGCACATAAGGGGCACATATGTAATTGGCAACCCAATTTTTCTGCTTTCATCAAATGCTACAAAGCCAAATCTTCACTGAATGTGCCAGTTAGATGCACTTGGGAACCTAACAGCAGCAAGCATCCATGAGATGAAAATGAACAAACTGGAAAGAGTCATTAGCTTTCTGTTTTTCTAGCACAACAAAAATTATACCATTGAATGTGTTGCAAAGTGGGAAATTTGACTTGAAACATTAAGCAACTTTAAAAGAGAATAATTTATTTACTAAACTTCTAAAATTTTCATTATAATTTATAAATGAAGTTTCTAGTGCAGATTTTTTTCATAAAAATACAAAATAGAATGCCAGGCGCCATGGCACATGCCTTTAATCCCAGCACTTGGGAGGCAGAGGCAGGCGGATCTCTGTGAGTTCGAGGCCAGCCTGGTCTACATAGCGAGTTCCAGGTCAGCTGGGGCTACAGACAGACCCTGTCTCAAAAAAAAAAAAAAATACAAAATAGTTAAAATGAATCAATTTTTGGAAGTGTGTTTTAGGGTATATATTTCATTCATCTTTTGGCTTAGTGCATATGAATTCTAATCTATGTTTGGAAAGAAAATTATCATAAAATAAGCAAGAAAATGTTAGCTTTAATATCTTAATGAATAAAGCAATTGACAGATTACCATGGTCCTAATTATAAAGACAATTTGAGTATAAAATTACTGTCAATTGCGGTTACCAAAAATGACCTTGAAATATCTGGTATAATTTTGAAGTAGGTATGATAGTCATAATCAATAAATCATTACTGATAACGAACTAAACAGAGAATCAAGAAAATAATCCACTAGAAACTTGGCCCAATATGATCACGTGTCATTCTTCAAAGGTGGACAGAACTGTTTTAAATATCTATTTACAGTTCTTAACAAACCATATATTAATTCACTAGATGAAAATGTTTAGAAATAACAGTTCTACAAAATTGCCTTTGTCAGTCACCAAAGGTTTGTCCTATTAAAGACTGTGGAGAAAACTTTCCTGACTTCCCCATCTACGACCCCGAATATGTTCAGATTTATTTTTTTTTAAGTCCCATAGTGCTCTCTTGCACGATAGATGGGAGAGGGAGGAAAACACCAAAGGGTTGTAGGTCAGCTCATCTGATGGTCGTCCAAAGCTCTAAGGAAATGCTTAAGATTTTTAACTGACTCATTCCGGAGCTCTGAAAGGACAGTAGCAAGAGACTGTATCTAGCTGTGTCATTTTTGTGCAATGGTAGGTTAACTACTTCATCAATCCTGATCTGTAAAATTGGGGACATGATAACAGATATCTCATACATTAAATCCAATATGTGTTTAAATACATAACTATCTTCAAAGAAGCTATAACGTTCTACATTTATACATGACTGATATAGTGCGGTATTGGAATCTTTGCTGCTCTTTCCAATATTTTTTACATACATCCACTAATATCTTTTATTAGGCTTTATCAGGTATTTTTGTTGTTTGAGACTGGGTCTCCCTGTAGCCCCAAATGGCCTAGAACTCACCATGTAGACCAGGCTGACCTCAATCTCACAGAGATCCACCTGCCTCTGCCTCCTGAGTGTTGGAATTAAGGGCATTCACCACCACCCCCAGCTTCTTTATTAGGTCTTGATCATTTGTTTGAACCATTCTCAATGGACTCACTGTATGAGACAAAGAAGAGCTGGGGGTAGGAACATCACTGTGAGAAAGTCAAGATATAATGGTCTTGGGGCTGGAGAGATGACTCGGTGAGTAAAACACCAGTTGTGCAAATTTGAGGACCTGAGTTCAGATCCCAGAATCCACAGAAACTGGGTGTGGTACCTACATCTGTAAGCCTGATCCTCCTACCAGGAGACAGGAGAATCCCAGAAAGCACCAAGGCCCACTAGCCTGGGCACCCAGCAGTGAAGAAGGTATATTTCAAACAGGGTGAAAGATGAGGACTGACACCCAAGGTTGTCCTCTCATCACCACATTCATGACAGGCACATGCCTGTGGTCACACACGTCATACACACAAAGATATTTACATATATATGCTGGCCTGTGACAAAATATTAAAGATGTGACTGTCATAAATCATGACGAATATAAGGAAAATGCATTGTCAATCTTGCTATCACCTCCCCCTTGGTATCTTGTTTTGTCATTTACATATATCTTGTGTGTGTGTGTGTGTGTTCGTTCCCCAGTTCTTGCAATGCAAGAGTTATTTCCATGGTAGAACATAAAAATCACAAAGATTCACTCAAAAGCACCCTTGTCTTTACTAGCCAGCCCCCACTATCACCTCTTTGGGGGAGTCCAACTAGCCAGAACATTCAGGCACAGGTGCACACACTCTCAAAAGATTGTTTGACTGCTGCACGCTGTTTCCCAATGAGGCAGTACATCAGACCTCAAAGACCTTATGCTTTGAGCAGGAAGCTTATCAAGGGCTACAGCGGCGAACTGGGGTGTACAAACTTGGTAACATTGACAGTGTTACTAAGTGCCTGGAGATTGTCCTATATTCCAGCAGAACGGGTTAGAAGTGTTCCTGACAGAGTTAATGGTTTGCATCTGCTGTGTTGTCTGTTAAAGGCATAAATTTGGGGAGTGGAGATGAAGAAGATGAATGGAAAATTGCTCAGGACCCAAAGCTACCTCTAAAGGACAGAAGACAGCGCAAAGCAGAGGAGGGATCACGGAAAATAAATTAGGCAAGCAACAGCATCATGCACCAGAAGTCTTCTCCGTCTCGAAAGTGGCAAATTTTCTCTAGGGGGCCATCCGTCAAATGATGTCAAACTGGTTGCTGGCTCTGTTTGGAATGCGTTTCCGTGGACCTTATGTGTAGCAACACAAGTCCGGCTCCTAGTCAGTCCCAAGGCGTCCTTTATCTCACAATTGACTGTTGCAAACGCTGCCGGGAGGCGTGACCTGCTGGAAGCAAAGAAGGCAGACTCCTGTCCTCTTTCTTGGGTTAGTAAGAGTTGTCAGGATGAGCGTGGGGTGGGTGACGGGGGCGGGGGCGAGACAACACACTGCAGTTGCCCCCTTTTCCTGTGTCTGGGCGAGCAAAGGCGCAGCCTCCTCCAACCTGCAGGGTCACTAGGTTGGGTCAGAGTTCGACGGTGTCGGCCTTGACCTACGCAAGCATCTGGACCAGGGGCGTCCGGGGCCAGGCGGGCAGGCGCGGAGGCTCGGGCTCCCCTGCGGGGGCACCGGCGGTGCGCGTGTGGCCGCGAGTCTGCGTGCGCGGAAGCCGGCGACGCGCTGTGCCGCAGGGAGAGATCTTATCTCAAAATAAAAGGTGTTCAGTGGGTAAAAGTGCTTGGCGCTCAAGCCTGAAGACCTGGGTTTGACACCCTAAAGCCCACAACGGAAGCAGAGGAAGTTGTCCTCTGGCCTTGACATGCCTGCTTGCCCCGCCGCCAGGCCCCCTGCGCGCTCTCTCTCTCTCTCTCTCTCTCTCTCTCTCTCTCTCTCTCTCTCTCTCTCTCTCTCTCTCTCTCTCTCTCTCTCTCTCTCTTTCTGTCTCTCTGCCGCTTGCTCTTTCTCCCTCAATATGACTGACTGCGAAGCGGTGGCTCTTGCAGCGCAGCTCCGGTGGCGCAGGCGGGCGCGGCGGGAGGATTATTAGAGGACGCAGACGAGCCGGAGCGCAGGAGCCGGCCGCGCAGGACGGAGGACGCGGCGCCCGGAGAGCTGACACCCCGGCAGCCTGCAGGTAGCAGCGCGGTCCCCTCGGCCCGAGTCGGGCTGGGCTGAGCGCGGCCAGGTGACCCGCCAGCCTGGAGAGGCGCCCCAGGCCCGGTCGAGGGCCCTGCGGGAGCGGCGTCGCGCGCATGGGTCGGGACACCGGCGTCGCGGCGTGGCCACCCGGGTGCGCTCCCCGAGGGTCCCCGGGGTAGAGTTGGCGCGGGCTCCCGCCGCTCCGCTCGCTGGCCGCGGTCCCGCGTGGGCTACAAGGGTCCCGGGCGGTGATGGGGACGCAGGCAGGGCGGGGACCACGCCGCGCGGCTTCCTGCACGCGAGACCATCAGCCTAGCCTGAGCCCACGCAGATGGACCGATGGCTTTGTGGCGCATGCAGGGCTCCCGCGCGTGTTCGCGCTCCGCACTGATGAATGCGCTGGTTACCCTAGCATAAAGTCGTCCGTGCCGGCTGCAGGTACTGCCAGGCCCTTCACCTCTGGCTTGCGTCCCAGGGACTCGCTGCCAGGCGGGGCGGGTGCAGGAAGGAGCAGCCAGGGATTTGTGAATGGTGCTTCTCCGCGGAGGTTGCGGGCTTGCACCAGTGAGGGGCGAGTATTCCCAGCTAGAAAGGCTATTTATGGCAGAGTTGTGAAATTTCTCGGGATTTCCTCCAGTGTACGCCCAGGCCCTTCACCTCTGGCTTGCGTCCCAGGGACTCGCTGCCAGGCGGGGCGGGTGCAGGAAGGAGCAGCCAGGGATTTGTGAATGGTGCTTCTCCGCGGAGGTTGCGGGCTTGCACCAGTGAGGGGCGAGTATTCCCAGCTAGAAAGGCTATTTATGGCAGAGTTGTGAAATTTCTCGGGATTTCCTCCAGTGTACGCGGAGTCTCTCTCTCTTTCTCTCTCT